CTAAGTGGTTCTACAAGTTACCTTTTTAATTCAGCAACATCTTATAGAAAGCTTTTCATGTGGCCATTGAACATTGGTTTACTTCACTTTAAAAACCAAAACAACAACAAGGATGACAACAACAACAAAAAAAATCTCACAAAAAGCCAAACAACAACAAAAGAACTTCTACAATATTTTCAGTCGAATATATCAATTCTCTAAATGAAGGTCAGATTGTTTCAGCTTGTTGCAGAAAATATCCTTCATCTGCAGCTTTTTTTCTGTATAAGGAGAATGAAGGGTAAACCCAGCCGCCCTCAACTCCTGCAGGAAGAATGGAGAGTCCACCTCTTCTCTGTAGAATCAGCTCTAGAGCAGCTAGCTCACAATTTTATGTTCACAACAGATGTTTAATTTTATGTTCACAACAGATGGGTAATTGCTACAGTTCTGACTGTTGGAAACACTAAGGATATATTAGCTAATAAAAGACCACCCTGGTTCCCATGGAACTTATGGCCCATTGGAAGGGCAAATAACAAAAAGACAACTATTTATTATATTAGATAGGTGAGGAATTTAKGGAAAAAATAAACCAATGTCAGAGAGGAAGAATGTAGCCAGGATAGGGAGTGGAAGGAGCATGCTGTTTCAGATAAGATGGCCATAGGATATCTCTCACAAAATGTAGCATCTTACTAGAGGAGGAATAAGTAGTATGGACTGAGAAATGCTGTGTGCAAAGGGCCCAAGGGAATATTCTTGGCAGAATGGAAAATAAAAACTTGGAGAGATGATGTGGGATGTTTCATACACCATGCTGGGGGACATGAGGAAGATGATGGGTTTTATAGAGTGAGATCAGGAGCCATTCAAGAGTTTGAAATAAATAAATTTAGTTTTTGAAAGGATCATTTCCATCTAGGAAGTTAGCAGTGGTCTTTGAGTAAACAACTGAGAGAAATTAAATGAAAACCAATGTATCATTTTTCTGTCTTTCAGGAAACTACACCTTAAGAGTTGATTGTACACCACTGATGTATAGCTTGGTATACAATCTAACAAAAGAGGTAAAAAGAAATCTATCTATCTATCTATCTATCTTAAGAAAATCTAACTTCTACAAATAATGTTTCCCTGAGGTGCCATTATGATGCTATTGTTGTTTTATATAACTCATCTTTTTTTTATTTAACAATCTACTCCACAGAATGTCACATCTAACATGCTGCCTACACACTACCCCGTCTCCCCCCACAACATATTGAGGCAGCCTGTATGTATCATTATGTTTACTATATTCTGTTTAAAAATGAGGAAACTGTTGAGAAATGATAGCCACCCTAGTCACCCAAGGTGTACAGTTGCTGAACTGGGACTTTGTCCTATGGTTTAAGTCCTTAATTTTACAACCAGTTTCTCCTTCTTAATATACTGTTCCCAATTAATTCAGGACTCAGGAAAACCAAATGTTCTAAATGATGAAGACAGAGTATGCATTAAAAAGAACAAATGATTTTGGGGGCAGAGGCTAGATGAGACTATGTAACTTCCTTCTCAACATTTGCCTTGGACTCTAATCCCCTGGCCTCAGTGAGCCTGAATGATACCTCAATGTTATCTTAATTGTCACAGCACAGAGGGCACTGAACTTGGTACAAAGGTGGATACCTAAATTTCTATAGGACAGGAATCTCTTTAACCTTCATACTCCATAACTCTGGTCCTAATCCAAGTTAGTAAGAATGAAGGGGGT